TGTTCTGAGACATGTTCTGGGTGGGATAAAAAAAAAAAAAGGAGTCATCTTTAAAAAGCTCAAAGTCCCAGAACATATCTTAAATATGTTTGTTTGTTTATGGTCTTCTATTATGTGTGACAGTGGAGTAAATTGCCTAAAATCTATTAGACAGGTTCTGGGGTGGCCCCCCAAGCAAAAGAAATTAAAGCACACAAGTAGGAAGTCTTTATAACCAGCATAAATTCCACAAAGTAATTAAGATTTGATGACTAGTCAATAACTGTATGGAGGAGGAAAGGAATTGAATCTTTGTTTTTTCCTGCCTATTTCAGATTTACCTGGCCTACCATAATCATCTCCACAGTAGCTTATTCCATTTCAAAATAAGACTTGGTGATCTCAGTTTCAGCAGTATATATGGCCTTGAAGACCCTGTTGTTCAGTTGGCTACAGTTTGGAGATTCAGTGGGTTGAATAGCTGGAAGGGGTCCGATGTCCCTTAAAGTGGAACCTGTACATTTCATTCTTGCCATTTGATTTCCTCTCACGCTCAAGCTTCATCACATGAGTTTACTTCCTCGTGTAGAAATAAAGGAAGCCCCAAATGCTGGTGTTTAGTAAACAGTTTTTCCAACAGCAGTAAACTGCTTGGTTTCTACTATTAGCAGGCTGAACTTAGTTTGCATAAGCAAAAAGATTGCAACTTCAGCACTTCATCCAGTTTTTTAAAAGAAAAAAAAAAAAAAAAGTCTACACCTACCAAACAAGAAAGTGCATCTGTTTTCAGTTAAGTGTTAAATACAGTATAACTGTATTTAGAAGACACTTTGAACAACCTATTGACTATCAGCACTTCACTGGAATAGACATGCTGTATACCTTATGGCAGCAGTTTTCAATCTTTTTAGACTCAAGGAACCACACCTCAAACTCAAGGCACCCCTCAAAAAGTGCCAGCTCTTTGTTTCTACTCTTAAAAAAAGAAAAACAACTTACAGAAAAATAAAGCAATTATTTGGTTGTAAAGAACTCAGAGCATGGCAGGTAGATCAAAATGGTTTCAACACCATGGCTTTCTATTTGAAATCTCTGGGTGTATCCTGTGAATGCTTGTCTGTTTAACAGTGCTAACATTGCACCCTTGAAAGGTTCTCAAGGCATCCTACTTGAAAACTACTACCTTGCAGGTCAGATTTCTTAGTTTATTATGTGGTACTCTGCTACCTCAAATCTTTAAGCTTGGCTATCAGCACTAACCTTGATCACAGAAAAGGCCGCCCCAGCCTTCGTCACATATGCACTGCCACTGTGTTTTACAAGTCCCGTGGCGACAGCCTATATGTGGAATGCACTCATCGCAATAACGGCCTTGCCAACCCGGGCGACAGCTGAGGAAGACAAACAAAACAAAAAAAAGGTGATGAATGTAGCTGGTAATAATCAGAACCAGTTAAGTTACTGTTGTTACAATGAGGGGATTGCTAAAGCTCCAAATGAGAACTTCTACTCACATGCACTCTCCTGGCTTGTTGCAGTATCCGTTTTGTTCAGTGCACCCAGACAGACAGATGGCTGTAAAGTGAAAAAAAAAAAAAAAAAAAAAAAAA